ATTTTAGGGTATTGTTAAAGGATCATATTTAATATAAATTAGAACTCGATTCTGTCGTATTTTATATATTATAAAGTAAAGCCAATGGCACACGATACTATTTTTCCTACTGGATTGTTTGCGAGAGCCAACAATCGGATGTTTGCGGATGCAGAGTTTTAGATCAAGTGACTTAAGGCTAAATCCTGATTGGCTCTCATAAGCAGTCCAGTAGGAAAAATAGTATTATGTGTCGTTGCCTTAATACTCGAAAATCTTGTTAAAATATGTAAGTAGGTCGCGAATCAATCTTCTACCTATTCTACCTACATTCGTGCTTCAAGCGCAGAACTAGGCCACTTAACAAATTAATTCCAGTCGCTACATCAAACATTTTCGGTATTTTCCGAGGCGAGGAACGAATCGAGAACGATCAATCAACATCGCACAGCATCGACGAACTTGGTGAATATTATCGTGTGCTAATAACAACTGGTTTCTTTCGCGTTGATCTGCCTCGCGAGAGCTTACAGCGCGCGAACGATATAAGCAAAATATTTCGCGACGGCCATCGGGTTCTCGCGGAATTTGATGACTCGGTGTAAATAGCTGGATCTTTCTCTCTCGCGCGGCGCGAAACACAGCAAATAAACCAAAGATCGCGGCCTGCCACCGACCGCAGAGTTCCGTGATTTAATGTGTTGCCTTGCTTGCCGTATGCGAGCAACTTTAAATTACTCTGTTAAATAACAAAACTTAATGAGCGAACTTGCGTGTGTGCGTGTGTGTTTGATATTTTTGCGTAATATTAATTAACGCTGCTGCATGGATAAAGCACGCATGAGAAGCTTTCCGACGTTGTTGAATAACAATTATATTGCCATAATTAAATTGGCAATCAATACCAATCCAATTGAATCACTTTGAGACCTTCCTTTTTTATTATATATAAATGCCATTATATCTTCCTGATAAAAGTTATAAAAAAAAGAGACAAGACGTGGAAAACTGTATTTGTGTATTATACATACAATACATGTAACAGCATCGCATAAATGCGCGATACGCGGGCAAAAATGTGCAGTACGTGTATAATGTGACACGATGCGCAAAGTGGTAACGTTACACTGTCGCACGATATGCTTTACTTCCCATTCCTTCCTGGGAAAAGACAACGTCAGGTTTCATTCGTGCATCAGGTACGCGAGCTGGATTAAATAATCGTGCTGGAAATCGCGAGTCTCTTCCTCTCCTCGAGAGCTTTTACGGCCGGTCCAGCCTCGCGATCGAAGAGAAATATCCTCTCTCTCCCCTCTAACTCCGTATATTTCCTACTCCGTATTCGCGTATCGTGCCATGCGTTACGGCATTTATTTTTGCAAACGCTTGTGCAAACAACTTTAAGTCCCAGGACCGCTGGACCATAAAAATACCGCGCAACTTTTTGCGCGTTCCGCGAATAGTTACACGTAAACTCGGAGTTAACTAATGTCTTTTCTGATCGCCCGCGATTTCTTACGGACCACGGACTTGCGGTCACGGAAGTTCGTCGATTTTCTTCCGCGACTGAACTTCTGCCACGCTATTATTTATCACCCCGTGGCGCACTGCTACGAAAGATCCGCGATAAAATAATTAGTTTCCAGACCGCACTTTCTTCGCAGTTCCTCCCGGATCGAGCTGTTCGTAATCGAGGCGCGCGATGTTTTCTCTGTGCTCCCTGCCTGCCCATTGTACTTTCTCGTGATTTACTACCCGTCACATCTGATCAATACCTCGTTCGTAATCAAATAATTTACAATCGCAGCTTCTCTAATATCTACGTTCTATCGCCCGCGTTACCTGTTTCTAGCAATCAATAATTCCGTCCTCCGTACTCTACTCTGAATGTATCCATCGCGCTTGTGATCAGCTTGAATCGAGTCACTTGAACCGCCGGCTTCGTAAATGTTTAAGTTTGGTATTCTCGAATCTCTCTCGCTCGTCCCACGTGAACCAAACTGTAATTTTTCCGTCAAACACATTCGCCCGAGTCGAGCTCGATCGCGTATTTACCTTTAGTCACGCATTTGTACACGAGAAGTGCGCGCGTCCTAACATCAGTCACATCGCTAATTGCGCCCGTCAATTACCACGGTTCGTCGAGTAATTAGCATTCCGCGCTATCGCGTACTCCCGTTTCCGAGACGGCGAAAACCCAGAGTCAGTTCGGTTTATGGGAAACCACGTCTCAGTCGTTTAACCACCGTCCTACTTCTCTGTAAGAGGGAGAGATCGGAGAGGAGGGAGGCGGCAGCTCATTAGTCGGTGATTAATTTTCGGCCCGACGCTACGCGCACGTAATCGCGCGCCCATGCTTTTCCTCGCGGCTAGTTACTTCCTTTATTTTCGCACCGACATCCGGCCGCATTACGCCCGCGACTTCCGGAAGCGAGGAAGGCGGGCCGACTAGAGAGTCCCATTCACTAAACATATCTGCGTTAACGGCAATGCGAGTCGCCAGGTCACAATGTCTCGACAGCACTTACACGAATTCAAAGACACGCGTGCACACGTCAAGAATGCGTGGAAATAAAAAAATTGACGTTTTTCATTTCCAACTATAATTATATGCAAGAAGTATCGATACCGCTAGAGAAAGTAGTATTTCGATTCCGTTTCCAAAATAAATCACAAGGTACAAAGCCCTTTCTAATCTTTTCACGATGTCTCAGTCACTTTTTCATTTCATACTTTGATTAATACTCGAATATTTTACTCATACGCAACGTGACATGTTTCAATAGACTTTCTTTAAGACGTATGTTGAGTAGGGAATACAATCCCGGACGACTTTATCAATCCCGGGATTTCGGGATTTCTTAAATTTAATCCCGGAATCCCGGGATTAATCTCGAGTTTTGTCAAGGGTAATTTAAATAAATTCAAACATACTTTTTTGAAAATTAAAGTGTTATTGAACAACATTTTTTATTATTAAAGCAATTATGTCAAAATTAAACAAAATTTTTTCATGAATCTATTTAAAAAATTGGTAACATAATACAAAAACACATTAAATCAATCTCAAACATTAGAAACAAAAGATATATTTCTTATTTATTACCTAACATATAAAACATTTACCATTTTATTGTATATTTTTCAAAATTGCAATATTTTATAAGACATATCTTTAAAACTAAACGGTCTATTTTAATCAGTCTTAAATGAGAACATACTCGTATGAATAAACTTTGAATCAGCTTCAAATATACTTGAAAACATAAAAGTTATACTTATATCATTTAACTCAAATAACTGTTATAAAAAGTCAAACCTAATTAAGTAGATTTTTGAAAAAATAAACGTAGAAATAACAAAGCATCTAATGTATCATCCCCTAGCCGACTTCTTAATTTGTTACCGATATAACCGGCCGCCGAAAAAGCTCGTTCAGCTTCGACGCTTGTAGGAGGAATGGACAACAAATATTTATATACTAATTCCAGATGATATATTATTTACTCATTAATTGCATTAATAAATGTTATAAATGTTATAAATATAAATAAATATTATAAATATTATAAATGTTTATAAATAATTTAGTTTTAAGTATTTAATAATATATGGTATCAATCGATAATCCCGAAAATCCCGGGATTAGTACTTTCCAATCCCGGAATTTTCGAACCAAAAAATCAGTCGGGATCCCGGGATTGTATTCCCTAATGTTGAGTTAATTATTAATAATTGAAATAGAAGTGTATTTTAACATAATTAAAAATCTTAGGATTATATTTGTCTTACGATTTCTATATGTTAGTAGCCATGTATTAATAATCATTTCTTATTCTTTGTTGACGCAACTCGATTATAATCTGGGTTTCTCGCTATTTATAGTATTACGAAAAAATAACGCGTATCTGACTTCTGACGATTCTCATATACATGCATAAGAAGACTACGCGGGGTATCCCAGACATACTAATTTAATTTCTTCATGTATAGATTACTTAATCAATTCCGAGTTAATGTTCGTGTAATAAAATATTCTGTTATTATTTGTTTATTCAATTAATATTCATGTATTAGCTCATAATGAATTTATCTCAAGTAAGTACTAAAATTTGTATTCAACCATTAATGTGATATACTCAACCATTTCTATCTATGTTCAACCATTAATATCATAAATTTTACCTTGACAAAAATTTTATTACCAAGATCTATACTGTAAAATGATAAAACTTGCGTGCGGGAGCAAAGATTATCTGTATATAAATCGCGGCAGAAAATTACATAGAGTGTTGTGAAGGAATTTTATCGATATCTGTGAAACCAAAAAGACGTTCGAAATTATCTCGGTGATAAACGGCGGCATTAAGACGGACAAAATCGAGATGTGCACCGAGAGATTTTATATATTACGAGGAATCACGATAAGCGCTACAACTTTGGTATATTGATCCACTCGTTATCCTTGACGCATTTCCATTTACATTCACCGCATGCAATGAGGAAACTTTTATTGTATCCGCGAAGTTATCTCGGGAAAGACATGCTAATTAGGACACTGATTGAAATCAGTGAAATCCCGCATTAGCTCACGTACCCCGAGCGCGGTATTAACAACAAACCTTATTTAATCGACCGTAGAATTTCCATCACAAATTCGATGCGCACGTAATTTATATAATCCCTGCTTTTATATTTTAATCGAGAAACTCTCTTTCTCCCAGCATGTTTATAATTCAAATTGCTCACAAGATAGGTATTTGTTTTAGATGTGTGCTTTGTTACAATAAATATCCAGTGATAAAAAAGATAGATTATAAGTTGAATTATCAGGTAAAACTCCCACAAACACGTTCTTGTGAAGTGTCGGCTTTAAATATCGATTTAAATATTATTTATGCGTACGACCGAAAATTGAGAGGACTGAGCGGCAGAGAGCAGAGAAAAACGACGGGAGAACAAATCCTTGAACTTGTATCGAGTTCCGCGCGATGCAACAGTATGGTAAGAGGTGCACTCACGTGTTGGACTTAATCCGTTGCTCGTTGTATGCGCGATGAAAGTCGAGTAGTTCCTGCATCAAACCGGCCTCCATCATGCCGTCGACCCTGTCGTTCAGTCTGCTATCGAGGACCTTCTGCAAAAAATTTCGGGGAAAGGAGAGCTCCCTTATTAATTAAGCATGACAACATCGACAGGTATTGCCCGTTGAGAAACCGTTCGGCTCGACCGCGTTTCCTAGCGCTTCGAGCGTAGCGGCTATCGCGACTACTACGGGCATTAAATATCCTATCGTACGACAGCGCGGCATTTTTTTCACAATCCGTCCGAATCGAATTCATAATAAATAAACGTTTTAACGAGCGACTTTACCGCGCCGGGAACGCGTCGCGAAGCGAGCCGCGATGAACAGCGAAGTAGCCACATGTCTACAGGTCCCCGGTACGAATCCGATCATTAATGCTGCGGATTAAGCATTATGATACGACGGGTTTCAAAATTTACAATTCGAAATAACCCAGTGGAAATAAACTGGCGGAAATACTGCATCGTAAGTAGATCATTGAAACACAAAAGTGCTGTAGCGTTCGTTGAATGTCTACCGTTCTACGATCAGATAAGACACGAGGCAGAGTCGTATCGATCACTATTGAGATCACGATCCCACCGAGGAAAAAGAAACGGGCCGATATGTAGGCTCAATACCAAGGACGGTCCTTGCTACCGATTAACTGTTCAACGACACCGAGGAATAACGCGGCCGTTCCGTTAGAAGGAAAAAATCCGGTGGCCTTGGTAGCTGTCCAAGGTGTTTTGCAATTGTTCCTCTTCTACGTGACCTCGCTAATGGCGAAAGCGCGTTAGAAGGTGACGTGTCCTCGAGCCAGCTGACGTGTGGGATTACTGACGGGCCGTGCGTGTCGCTGGGCTTTCGAGGGGGTTTTTTCAACGCGGGCGATACATCAATCTGACGTACGCAATTCACGAAGAAATAGACTTTGCACTCCTGTGTTCACCAGCGGTTTACGCGTTTCACGGTGGATAGAATAACGCTGAGAGCGATCCTGCGGGGGGAACGCACCTGTGCAGTGCCCGAGGGTAAGCGAGGAAAGCGTTGTTAATATATAATCGCGCGGTTTATTTCGTATATAATCGAGTAAATAAACACCTTTCAGATTCGCGAGATGGTTCGATCGAGATACACGAAGATGCAGTTAAACGCACGCACGCGGCTACACATACAATTCAATGTCAAAGTGCGGTTGTCCGGTTCTGCGGTTTAATTATCTAATATACCGTGAAAGATTGGAAGATGAAAGCGTGTAATATGAATCAGAGAGTTGCATTAATCGCGCGAACGCCGAGCTCTTATTACGCGCGCCATAATCGTAGACGGAACGAGAAGTTCAATCTCATAATAAAAATATTGCTTTCAATTTTAGCTTCCTGTTCCTGTAGATTTTCGCGGTGCTCAAAGACCTTGGTCAATGCCCGAGCCGAGGCCGGGCAAGTATCCTACAGAGCGTAAAGTTTAAATTAATTAAATTCCGCTTTTAGCAATCCTTTGTGATAAAATAATACTGATAAATGCTAATAAATAATAATAAGTGCTCGGCTGAAGCACGATGAAATGATGGAAACGGCGAAACATAGAAGGCAGCTGCTATAGTTGCGTCGTGGTAACGCAAAGAATCGAGAGGGACTCGCCGTCGTTGCTGACACAATTACAAACGCTCGTAATGAAATAATTGGCGACTCGGATTGCGCGCCGCGTGCCGCGAGTTCGAACTCTATCGACCGTCCAAAATTAGAACCGTGCGCGTATTAGAAAGTAACCGGATAGCTAAGATTTGGCTAAAGATATCACCGACGACAAACAAAGAATAGAGAGTGTATGCATATCTAAGACTTTGCTTTGCGCCATCGTGCCTTGTAAGACAAACATAACAGGTACGATGTTAAGAAGTGTTTCTCGCGCGAGTCCTCGAGGACACTCGACCTTCCGTTGCTTCCCGGGATGCGTGCTTGCGAAATGTATATCTTAAAGGGAATTTTTAATGCATGTCCTGTGAAGTGATGAAAATTAAGATAAAAGTTATCGCCTTGTTGGAACAATTAGAATATTGCCTCAGAGTCGAGTTGGTTAAGACGCCCGTCATGGATTGAGGGAGGTCCCAGGTTCGAATCCTGGCTGAGGTAATATTTTTCGCAATAAGATTTCTCTACAGTAAGGAAAAGGGGGTATGGTATTGAATGCTTAACATTTAAATACAAATTATTAGAAATCGTTCATCGATTAATACGTGAATTCGCTGACGACAATATTCCATCTAACGAAACTGTGTTATGTCCGAGAAGGAACAGGCGCACAAGGTAGATGGAAAAACAGTGGATGAATAAATGCATGTATTTACACCCAGAAAAAAAGTTTCTTTGATATCAAACAAATTTTCTTTGAATTTTGACCTTGTTTAACTTTTTATTTAATCTCAAAGAAATGATTTCTTTACCTAACCAAAATTTTATTTGATTGTAAGACTGAAATTTCTAAGAAAATTCATATCTAGCTCTTCAAATCTAGCAAATGTTTTATTAACTTATTAAATAAAAGTTAAATTAAACTTTTTATTTAATCTCCAAGAAATTATTTCTTTACCTTAACCAAAATTTTATTTGATTATACAAGACTGAAATTTCTAAGAAAATTCATATCTATCTCTTCAAATCTAGCAAATGTTTTAGTACAAGTAAATAAAAATTTAGTAGATTCAAAGAAAAATGATATCAACGTTTCGCATTTGTTTAAGTTAACTAAATCTTTTTCTGGGTGTAGGATTTTCCGCCACTCCAGATTTTAGGTAATTATTTTCGGCACCGCTGCCCATCCCCCTTCTCTCGCTGACGTTTAGTTGCTCGAACACACGTACGAATTTGTCGAGTGTGAGAGAAATTTGGAATAGCCTTTGTTAACACCAAAGGCGCACCGAGATGGAGACCGGGACGCGCCCGTTAATGCTAGAACGCTAGAACCAAATCGTCGTTCTCACGGTCGTTCACGATTAAAACGCGACCTCTGCAACCCGTTTCGGCCGTGCGTTCACTTTAAATCCCATTTAAATGCCGGAGCCTCGCGCCCTACACACACGCCCACACACGTACGCACGTACGCACGCACACACGAATGTACATACGCACGCGCGCACGCACACACGCATGTACGTACGCACGCACGCACGTACCCGCCGCACTGACACGCGTACGTATACGGTTCTCCTCTTCTCTGGTTTCATTCATACGCGCCGCGACGGCGCTCAAACGTGGCCGTCGATGACGCAAGTTGATGGCCAAAGTCAGTGTTTGACGACCACACGGTACATACGCCACTATGTGGCCAAACTACATTCCACGTGTGCCCGCGTACGTGTCCCGCGTGTGCGCTCGCGCTATGACAGATTTTACGAGCGGCACGGGTGGCATTGATACAGGTATATGTATGTGTGTCGAATTTGGCATCTATCTTTGTCACGTCGAATGTGAGGTAAGAGGTACGATTGTCCGGCATTTAAAATCGTTGGATAGGACCTACAACTTCGGTAACGCGAGTGCAAAGCGGAGAAAACTGACGGCAGTGAAAAACACTTGCTTGTTTCGCAAATAAAACATTTATTTCCACATGTACATGGGGAGAGAAGTTTCTTTTACAATTTACCCCGAAAATCATATAATCGTAGGACAATATAGTAGTTTGAAGAACTTTATGAATTTTTTGATGTTTTACCAGTAAAAGTTCTTCAAAATGCCATGTCCCAAGATTACATAATTTTCAGGGTAAGTTTTAAGAGAAAATTCTCTCTGTGTAGGTTTAAGGTCAAAGATATGATGATTCACGAGACTTTACAATAATTTATAAAATTAAAACGAACACTTTGATCTTTCACATATTAAAAAGTTGTATATAAACGGAATTTAGAGGTGTCTGATAAAAGAACTTTTCCTTTTTCTCTAAATTCTAAGTGTAACGTTTACACAAACTGACACGTGAATATTGAAGCCCAGAGTTCAGCCCGATCCAGCGAAAAGATCGCGAGAAAGACTCTCGTCTTGTGGGTCTACGGAGCTAACGAGGATACAAACAAAAAAAATTACTCAATAGTCCAGGGAGGTGCGGGACGTTCCGCAAATAGCACGGGGTATCCACTTGCGCCGCGGATCGCTCCGTGCTTTTGCGCCGCGGCCTTCACTGAAATCAATGATCCCGTCTGGAGGTGAAAAAGTCAAAGGCCCGGGCTCCGGCCGGATTCGGTAACCGCGTGCATACGAACGCCCGGGCCGTCGCCGTGTGGGCGGTGCTACCGGGAATACGCGATTAGATCACGCGGATAAGACACGGATTCGCTGTTCGCGGCGAAAACGAAACGGCGACGCGCACGTTTCGGGCGCGAATTCCGCGACGTTGATGCAACGTCGAAGCCTGCGGAGGACGACCGACATCAATCCTCGGGGCGATCTCCTTCAGTTGCCCCCAGACGGAGGCGAAGGATAACGATATGCATTGTCATACCGTTGAGATGCGCACAAAAGCATCGATCATCTCGTCTCGTGTATATTACAGCATCCTCGAGTTCACTCGTTGTCCACGTTACAATGTTTATTCATTCGATTCGTACCTTTTTTTCGTGTGATCCGATCGTTTCTTACGAGGCAAGCAATATTAATTTCATTTCGCATGTCTTTTTTTATATATTATAATACGATGTGGTTTAAGGTAAAAGTATCAATGCCCGGACATGCACCTGAACATTCGTATTTTTTTGGTCTTTAAATGTTTTAACTTTCAGCTATAAACATTTGTATATACATTTAATACGCATATGCATTCCATATTAAAAGTTTAGACATCCGTGTTCAAAGACCAAAAAAATACGAATGTCCAGATATATGTTCGGGCATTGGTATTTTTTACCTTACATATCGCACAGAAAAATATAAAAAGGATAAGAATTACGAAATAGTGTAAAAGACTATATATTCTGAACAGTTACATCTTTGGCATTTCAAGCGAATAAGTGTATTCGTTTGAAATGTTATTTTACACTATTCTAATATAGAACAGAGATAATTCTTCGTCTGTCACTA